TACATATACATATATATATATAACAAGAGATATAAATTAAAAAATATATAATAATAATAATAATAAGCAAAAAGAGTATGTACTATGTCATACGTGTCATTACTCACGTGATTGACTTGTAAAGCACCTATGATTAGCAGATGAGGTGCAGGGTTTGTGGTCCCAATAGAGTACAAAGTGATGGATGTCAATGTGGGGTTTTGCAACAACAACTACGAGCCTTTTGATGGGGTGTTGGGGATCTTGACATGCGCGTTCTCGTTGGAGAGGGACAGTCTGCACTTGGACATGACGGGTGGTGGACTTCGGGAAGGAGGAGTTACAAGTTGCGGTGGACATAGCAATGGATGAGCGGGTATGATAAGTGAGTAGGTGTGGTAAGCAAGTGAGTGCAATGAGCGAGCAGGTTGGAAAGATGAGGGGAGAAAAAAATCAGTACGAGAAGTTTATATAAAACTAATAATTTAAAATATAATAAAATTATATTTTTATCATTTTTCATTCATATTCTATTTGCATATGATAATACGTACGATTTTTTTCGATGTAAGAAGAATCGAAGTTAAATGTTTCACTTTCATAAGTGTAAGGACATGATATTATTTTTTTAAGTATAACGATCGAGATGCTAATCATAGTTAACCGGGTTAAAGAGTCTTGATAATTGATAAAAGTGATGAAGATAAGATTTAATACTAAACACTTGCTATCAATAGTACTTCAATTAGCATCTCCGTAGAGATGTTTTCGAACCCTCATTGATAAGTATATCAGGTAATTACTTACCAAAAACAAAAGTATATCAGGTAATGATTACTTAAGTATTCTATACACACTTGAATGTCTATTGTTTCTTTATTCGAATTTGTTAGTGACTCAAACTCCAACATCGTATCTGACCTGTATTGTTTGTCTTTTTTTTTCTTGTTTATTGTTTGGTACCTGACAAAAAAATAATTCGGTGGCTAACATCCAATATCACATGATATTATTAACTAATCTCGGGATTTGATGTAGTATAATTCGATTTGAGTTAGTGAATATGTGAAATTTCTTTCGATATTAATGCGAGCATAACGATCTTAGAGTCAGACTACAAAGGTTCATTTCAATATATATATATATATATATATATATATATATATATAACTCATTTAGATAGTGTTTTTAATTTTACAACTAAACTAACTTAATAATTGAAAAGACTTATCGAGTACACCTAATATAATTTTTCAAGATTCAACGTGTTTTAAATTTAATTATTTCTAATACTAATAAAAAATAAATACTTCGAGTAGCTCCGAATCAATATTCAATTCGAACAATCAATTCAATTCAAATAATTAGATTTTAAAATCCAAAAAATCTGCCATTCACTGTCATGTCCTTATCTGGCATTTAGAATAAATGCGCTTATTCACTAGATATGGATGACCACTAGCTGACCAAGGCACTTACAGGCAGAGGCAATGCCATGCTATGCTCTGACGGACGCATGAGAATCAACATCAGCAGCTTGTCACCGAGAAATAAGATAGGTTATGTAAATAATTGCTGCAAAAGTAAGGAGTGGAAGATGTCAAATTGAACAAAAGACACTTACCATTTGCTGATTATTGCCTAATTGTTAACCGATCCTGAACCCATGCAACATTAGTGGTTAAAATAACAATTAAATTACCCAAATAATCCTTCCAAAGAAGTTTCAAGTTCGTCCATGATCTCCAATTTGTGTCATGGTACTGAACTATCATATATTTTGCAGTTCAAATTTTCCCTTTGATTAAATTTTCCCCCCTATAACATCTTATCAAATGATGCCACGACTAATAGGAGTATAAAAAAGAAAAAGAAAAAAACTGACTACCACATTATAACATAGTAACCAAGCACTGCCACATTGCCTCTTGAAACATCTTACTCAATCATACCATCATTTACAGAAAAAATATATTTATTAAAAACAAAGATGGCTGCCATATAAAACATCTAAACCAAGCGGTGCCACATTGCCTCTTCAAACATGTTACCCAATCATACCATGATTTACAGAAAAATATATATTTAATGAGAACAAAGATGACTACCACATATAACATATTAAAAAAACAAACATTGATGGCTGCAATCCTTAGTATTGATACCATGATGACCATCATAACTAACAATCAATGAATAGGGCCACAAATAACATCTTAACAGATCATATCATGATTTACTGGAATATTGACTATGTCAATGACTTTTAAAAAAACTTAAAAACTAATATCATAATGTTGTGGTTCATTTGTGGTCAGAAATGTACAAAAACTACAAGTATCATGCCTCATTGTATCTTATAACATCTTACCAAACCAAACCATGACTTACAGAAAAATAGATGTATAATAAACAAAAATGACTGCCACATATACCTTTTCTTTAAAAAAAAATCACTTTTGTCTTTAAAACATATTACAAAATCATAACATGATTTATAGATAACAAATTTATAAAAAGACCTACATATAACTTCTTTATAAATACAACCATGTTGAATAGAAATACAAGATATTAACAACATGATGACCATCAAATAAACAAATGAAAATTGATTATTGACTAAAATACTTAACATCAATACCATGACTTACAGAGAAGTATATTTATAGAGAACAAAATGATTGCCACATATAACATCCTAGAAAAATAACATCTCTTTCTCTCTTATAATAACATATTACTGAATCATACAACGACTTGTAGAAAAATTATTTATAGAAAACCTACATGAGCATCATAAAAATCAAATGATGACTGACTGATATGCTTAACATAAATACAATGACGAGAACCCAAAAATTAAACAAGATAAGGGCCCAACCAGGTTCGAACCGGTGACCTATTGATCTGCAGTCAATTGCTCTACCACTGAGCTATGGACCCGTTAATGACATGATCGATTTATGATTCAAAATATACAAACACTATAAATATCATACCACATTTATAAAGAACAAAATGATTGCCAACCAGATGTACCCTATGAAATATATTTATAAAGAACAAAATGATTGCCACATATAACATCCTAGAAAAATAATATCACTTTCTCTTTTAAAATAACATATTACCGAATCATACAATGACTTGTAGAAAAATTATTTATAGAAAACCTACATGAGCATCATAAAAATCAAATGATGACTGACTGATATGCTAACATAAATACACTGACGAGAACCCAAAAATTGAATAAGATAAGGGCCCAACCAGGTTCGAACCGTTGACCTATTGATCTGCAGTCAATTGCTCTACCACTGAGCTATGGACCCGTTTGTAGTCTGGTTTGTTAAATATTAAGTATAATATATAATAACAGACTTTCCAGTTTCCAAGCAAATCAAGTTCCAAGGGTCATTTTTATTGATCTTTTCTTTGAACTGTAACCAATGAGCATAATAGTTGTACTTGCAACAACTGAGAAAATTTCCAACAGTTCTCAACATTATACTGACCTGTGAATTGTGTTGATTGTGTGACAGAAGTCCTTAGTCAGGTAAGACATAAGCATCGTGCATTTCGTTCTTCCATCGATTACCCCTTATGTTACTCGTGAACTTGAGAAGAGCAGCCTGCACGTAAAGAAATGTCATTCTCACCTTATATAGAACGTTTCCTTCATGCATAGTGTAGAATTTATAGGGAATGAAAAATTGGAAGCTCCTGATTCTATTTTTGCAGAAGTCAAATCCAGATAATGCATTTACATTCAGACCAAAGAGAAACTCAAATTCTGCGGCTCAGGGGCTACATGCTGTGGATCCGCAGAAACTACCAGTAAGATTTGCGGTGGATCGGGTGGGGTTTCTTGGAGCTGGCAAGACAACTAATTCTGGATCATTTGAAGTCACGTATATGGCATGACTACCAAAATATGGCTGTCATGGCTCTTTCAGATGAAGGAGAACTGTTCCACATGGTCGCCACTGCTGCAGTTGTCAATGACCTGCTGAAGTAGAGGACATGGCGTTCTCCTTCCCCTTGAAAGCAAAGGTGTTCCACTTGAGGTGATTGTTTAGAGGAACATGCATCTACTTTTTCTCTTTCAGTAATCCACCATCAATAACATGATTTATAGAATAACAGATTAATGAAGCAAGAAGTGATTGCCACATATAGCATCGTAACAAATCTAATCGTAATTGACTGTAAAACTCATCAATGGATGTAAACTGCAAGCATCATGTCACATTCCCTCCTATAACATCTTACCACAACAGCCATGATTTATAGAAAAGATAAAAATTTATAAAGCTAGGGTGACTGCCACATAATAATCCCAAAAAGTACTAATAATAATAAGGAGGGCCCAACCGGGTTCGAACCGGTGACCTATTGATCTGCAGTCAATTGCTCTACCACTGAGCTATGGACCCAATTGTTGTCTGATTTAGCAGATCGTAATTAATTGCCCAAAACTAAACTGTCCTAAACTGTCCTAAACCGTCCTAAATGTAACAAAATTGAATGATATACCTGGTAAGAAAATTTCACAAGTGTACCATTTGAGATGGACTTGATTTGGTACATTGAAACGCACAGGGAACAACTCTGGAGGTAATAGCACCGAAGCTTAGCGAAAAAGAGCATCCTATACCTTAAGCCAGCACTATAGCTGCCCCATGCAGATTTTGATGCAACAATCCGGGACTTAAAATTGTTAGTGTTGGGCCTTAGAAGATGTTTATAGTGAGTTCCTTTTACCAGATAGACAATTAATCGAGATCTTTAACCACGTGGAGTAGGATAAAAGAATGATTGCTAATTCCCAATTATTAATCTGCAGTTTCCATTCCTCATAGCCCTATCCATTTCTAACAGATGTGGAGAATGAGACCACAGAGAAGCAAATGTACTTTTAATAAAGAAGCTTTAGCAGTAAAAATCCCCATGTCGTCATCTTAATTGATGTCATCAGAAAAACTCCACAAGCAATCCAACTTGATAAGCTCCACCTAAACCAGGTTCCAGGATCATACTCTAAATCCTAATCGTGAAAACGTAAGCCCTACATAATGTCCTTAGTCCAAACACGACCAATGAAAATCCCTAAAGAAATATAAATTTAAGCAAGAAAGGAGGATGAACTGGGATGAGGGATGGGAGACTTACAAGAAGTCGTCGCAGGCGCCGAAGGTGAGGAAGTTGTGGATCTTCTCCGAAGATGGACCAGTGCCTGCAGAGGGCAACACCACCAGCAGCAGCGTCACAACGCCGTGCACCACCAGCGCCTACTGCACAGACATCTTTCTCTTAGGTGGCCTCCTCATCCGCCCGATCCTTGTTCGCCGTTCTCGTCGTCAAAGTGCGTCGCATCGAACTAGCGAACAAAATTGAGGAAGATAAAAAAGGGCCAAACGGCTTTATAATTAATATTATTTAATTTTAACATTTATGCATATATAAGTGTGCAAATCACCTGTATTAAGTAAGACAGGGAACACTATTCGGCTACTCCAGCAGCTCCCACGCCCGCATTTTGTCTCGCTGACGGCATCGGTGTGATCTCCCCAGACGGTGGATACGGCGTTTCCTGCGGGGCCCGAGACAGAAATGTTTCCGGCCAAGTGCGGCCAAAGATAACTGACTTGTCACGGTCGGCTAAACTATTGCCGTAAAGCTTCCCGAAGAAAAAGAAGAACGGGAAACCCTCGAACATGTGACCGTGAGTTCGCCTGGAGCCCACCTATGGGCATCACCGCTTCCAGTTACAAGGCGAGCAGCTTCTTGAGTAAATACGGTAATTGCTGGGCCAGAAGCCCACGTCAGCTCATGCCGCGAATCACACGCGAGCAATCCGAGCGTCCTCCTTTCCCGCCAATTACCAAGCGACCAAATAACCAAACAGGGAACTGTTTGGTTGCCAAGAATCATTGTTAATAAGGATGTACTGTAAATCAAAGAACTTCGAGCTTACCTTGTCATTAGCAGGTGTCACCAAGCTTGATCCTGCAACTAGGATGCAATTTAATCGAGTTACAAGATTCAATGTCATTGATGTGTTCTTTGAACAATAACCACTTAGCATAATAATTGTACAGATAACACTTGAAAATAATTTCAACAGTTCTCAACTTTATACTGACCTGTGAATTGTGCTGATTCTGGAACAGACACCTTTGGTCAGGCAAGAGTATTGTGGAATTCATTCTTCCATGGATTACACCTCATATTACACAACTCGAGAATAACCCTGCATATAAAGAAATATCATTCTCACCTGCCATAGAATATCTCATTCATGCATAATGTTGAATTTATAGGGACTGAATATTAGGGAGCTATTAATTCTTTTTCTGCAGAAATCAAATCCAGAAAATGCGACTATATTCAGACCAAGCGAGAACCTTTGAATTCTGTGGTGCGGCTTGTTGGAGCTGATAAGACAATTAATTCTGGATCACTTGCAGTCTTGGCATGCCTGCCAACTATCGCTGTCAGGGTTCCTTCAGATGAAGCAGAACTGTTCCACAAGGGTGTTTCACTTGAGGTGATAGTTTAAAGGAACATGCATCTGTTTCTTCTCTTTCAGTTATCTATCATTAATAGACTGAAGACAAATTTGCAGGTCGACAAATGTAGAGAGTAGTATATGTACATCAGCATATGACCATACAATAAAACAACTGTGCATGCATATCTTGTATCCATATCCTATGTTATAAGTGAACATGATTTACAGAAACAATTAAGTAATCTTAGCTTCAAGATATCAAGGATAAGTGATTATACGTAAACTTACAACATTTGCAGGTTGGCAAAGGTAGGAGCAGGGCCTCGAACTGCAGTTCATGCCGAGGGTGAGAGGGATCTGTAGGCTCTTCTTGAGTATGGAACAGCAGTTTCAGAACTGCTTGGCTGCAGCTTTGGTACTGAAGGAGCACTATCTGAAGGGCCTAGAAATCACAGCAGTCAAGTCACGATTCTGCAAAGTATTGTATCAAAGTCTGGTTTGAAGCTTAGCGATATCACATGAGGAACTTATAACTGTTGAAGAAGGACCAATCAGCAGTTTAGGTTCTCTTGTAGTTGAGTTCTTGGCTCTGGGTGGCCTTCTTGACAGCAAACTAATGGTAAACAAATCTTTCTGCTGAAGAACTAGTGACAGGTATGTGAAGTTGTGATTCATAATTACTGATTTGGTATCTGAAATCTATGCAATGGTGGAGACCATGTTGACCATGGATCACCAATCCATCATTTACCAGAAGCTGGCTTAATACCATCACATATTGCAACAACTGTCTGACATCCTCGGACAGATGAGAGAAGCATATTGAAATCATATCTCAGGTAATATATACAAGTAATTCCTTTCTTTCTCTTTTTTTTGTGTAACATAGACAGAAAAGGCCTTTTTGTTCTCTTAGCAATTTAACATATTAACAAATTAAGCCATAAAGACCGGAATAAAGAATGAAGTGATTCATAGTCACTGACTAATTACTGAATTCTTTGCAACACCAGCAGCCAAATCAATATATCTACTGAATCAGCAAACAATCAGTTACCAAAAGTTGGCTTAGCACCATTACTTATCACAACTGTGTTTAACATCCTTGTACAGACAAGACAGGCACTTGAAATCATTTTTACGGAAAACTACACAAAGTAATTCTTTCTTACTCCTATTTTGTTGAACATAAGTAGGAAGTGGCTTTTATTATCCTAGTAATGTAGAGAATAGTATATGTACTTTAGTGCATAAGGTTAAAGGTAACTGTATAGTACCTTATATATTGACTAAAAACTATAAAGAACATCATCGTGGTTCATTGTGATGAAAAATGAATAAAACTGAAAGTACCATGCTGCATTGCCTCTTAAAACATATTAACAAATAAGACCAAAATTTACAAAAAAGATAACAGATATAAAAAAATGCTCCTGCAAATAACATCTTGACAGGCCAAATCATGATTGAATGGAAAACTATGCAAATGATTATCAAAGAACAAAAAAAATTCGGTTGAGTGATCATCGATGCATGTAAACTGCAAGCATCATGTCACTGCCACAGATAACATCTTAACAAATCTAACCACCATTGAACGAGAGTTATAAAGCTAAAGATCTATGAAAAAAAAATGACTGCCACATAATAACACACTTAAATAGGGCCCAACCAGGTTCGAACTGGTGACCTATTGATCTGCAGTCAATTGCTCTACCACTGAGCTATGGACCCCTTTGTTAATTTGATTATGCCAAAAATTGTCTATTTGTGCATAGCCCATGACATATTTGATGCTAATTAATTTGGTTAACTATAACAAACCAAATTTCAACAAGGATATGATTGCATCATCTACCTTACACCATTTTAAGCCATTGCTTTGATGGATTGAGATATAGATGGATTTTGTCATCCAGGTGTAAAATGGTTAACAATGTTTTCAACCTTGCAAGTGATTATCAAAGAATATTTAGTGCATATTCATCAATGATATGGTTTAGAAAATTGCAAGGCTTATTTTCACTTACCTTTAAGATTTTAGAAACTTATACGTAAGAATGAAAAAACAGATGAATTAATATACAAATAAAAAACTAAAGAAAAATATGTAAAATAACAGAATATATTTCAGTTTGATCAATAATAACATGCAAGTACCAAAAGAAATTGGATTTTGGTATGTGCTCATCTAACAAGATTTGATTAGAGAATCATTATGATATTTAACCAAATCAGTGTAGCTCATAGTTCCATACATGAATGTTCCTTAAACCTTTTGCTTTTGTGTTAGTTTGAAATATAAAAAAAGTTTAAATCATATGAGTTTTGACTCATTAAACATTATGCACATATGTAGACTATATTTAACAGAGTTCTACTTCAATTTGGAGTCTATATGATGTTTCTGATACAATGTGGTTGATGTCGTGATACTCTCAATAAGATTCTGCACACACAACACACACTCCCTCTACATATATATGTATATATACATGATCAGAACTTGTTTCAAGTGTCACAATAGCTCAATGTAAATATAAGGATTACTGTTTAACTTGGAGCAGCTAATTATGTGGGTTCAAATAAACTTTTCCAATATCGAATTCTAAACTACGATCTAGGTAGTTAGCTTTCTAAATAAAGTTTGTTTTGCATGTCTCTTGAGAAACTATGCCATCTGATACCCATAATCAGAGGTCCAGGAGAGATATGTTAAATACATTACCCAAGTGATTTATATGATACTCATGTAGATGGTTTATAAAATCATGACAAATTAAATATATATGTATATATACTTAAAATAGTAAAAAAATTAGATAGCCAAGGATGAAGCTGATATGTTCTACTTATACTAGAAGTCAAATACATCTCCCTACTCTTGAACAACAGGGAACACTCAACAGTTCCCAATAGTTGAGTTGGATATTGCTCGGCCATGTTGGGGAAGTTGCCTAAGTGACTCTTATGATCATAGTGGCTAAAAAAATGAAGTGTGCAAGTCTCACAATTTCATTTGGGGATAATGGGGAACAAATTTAAGAGTCAAATTTCAATTAGAATGGTGGGCACCTAGTCAGAGAAGTTAATACTTGTACTACTTGTGATAGATTTAACTTGGTACATTGAAATATACAGAAAACAAGCACAAAGGTAATAGCACTGAAGCTTAGCCAAAAGAGCATTCTAATTTTTAAGCCTAATGAGGATAGCACTACTGCTTCCAAATTATGTCCCGGGCAAATTTTGATGCAGTAATCCAGAACTTAAATCTGTAACTGTTGGGACCTGCAATATGTTTATGTTGAATTCCTTCTACAAGATACACAATCCATTAAGATTTCCATCCATGTGCAGTAGCAGAAGAGTGTGCATGCTAATCCCTAAATACTAATTCGCAGCTTTCTTTCACCCATAGCTATCTTAATAAAGAAGCATAAGGAGATAAACAATAGGAGGCCACAGATTTCGGAAAACCTAATGCCCATGTCATCATCTCCAATGATATCGCCAACAAAATTTCACAAGAAATCCAACTTGATAAGCCTCACTTAACCAAACTCCAAATACATACTTATCTACTAAACCCTAATCACGAGAAAGATAGCCTACACATACACTCCTCAATCCGAACTCGACCAATAAAAAAGCCCTAAAAGATGCTCTAGTGTAAGCAAGAAAGGATGGGTGAGGGGCGACTGACGGGGAAGCAATCGTAGGCCCCGAAGATGGGCCAGAGTCAGTGAGGACTACAAGCGCCTGCTGCACCGCCATCTTAGCCTTCTTCTTTCTCCTCCTCCTCCGCCCGATTCCTTGCTCGCCCTTCTCGTCGCCAATCGCGTCAGATCGAGCAAGTGGACAAAACCGACGAAGACCGAAAAAGAAAGCCAAACGTCTTTAGGATTTAATATTACTAGTAGTAACAACTATGTGTATAAATGTCGATGGATCATTTTAGTAAGTACATTGTGATGTACGCTGAGAAAGGCATTCGGATCACCTGTCTCAGTGAACCAGGGAGCTTTATTATTCCTGACGAGTAGCTATCCACGACAGTATTGGCTCCCTGACATCTTCGCTTTGGTGTGGCGTGGGACTCCTCCGATAGTGGAGACACTGTTCCCTGCTTGGACGGAGACGGGATTGAATCACACTTTACGAGGCCTCGTTAACAGTCGAGGGAGAATGCCGAAGTAGGAATGAGGACATGGAACATTAGTGGCGCAGTTGACCAGTTTTGTCACAGACGACCGTAGTACCATGAGGGTCAGGTGGAGCCCGCAATTGGGACCCTCAGTGCAACCATTCACAAGTCAGGTAACCAGTGGGCAACTGAAGACTCGGTAACTGCTGGACCCGATGTCCACCTTCGCCGTTGGCGGGAATCACACGCTGGCAATCCTTGCGTTCTCCTTTGCTTCATCCACCAAACAGCTAAATAACCAAACAGAGAGATGACGCGTCGGTTCTATGGTGGGTCCCAATTTGTTAGACCAATACAATTGACTTTTGTATGCTTGGTATCTCAACCGATTCACAGGAATTGTGCCAACCCCACGCGTTGCTCGCCTCCTAAAGAAAGCGAGTGAAACAAAAGAGAAACGGGCAGAGTGAGAGAGAGAGAGAGAGAGAGAGGAGAGAGAGATGAGCTCAACGGGGGGCACGGCTGCGAAGGGCGGGAGGGGGAAGCCGAAGGCCTCCAAGACCATCTCCCGCTCGCAGAAGGCCGGTCTCCAGTTCCCCGTCGGGCGCATCGCCCGCTACCTCAAGGACGGCAAGTACGCCGACCGCGTGGGCGCCGGCGCCCCCGTCTACCTGTCCGCCGTCCTAGAGTACCTCGCCGCGGAGGTATAGATCTTTTAATAACGTTCCGAGCTTTTTGCTCTCCTTGATCGTAGGACGACGCACGCGAATTCATGCTTTTGCGTAGGTTCTGGAGCTGGCGGGGAACGCGGCGAGGGACAACAAGAAGAATCGGATCGTGCCGAGGCACATACAGCTTGCGATCAGGAACGATGAAGAGCTGAGCAAACTCTTGGGGACCGTCACGATTGCTAACGGCGGCGTTTTGCCCAATATTCATCAGACGCTGCTGCCCAAGAAGCAGGGGAAAGGGCAGGGAGAGCTTGGATCTGCTTCACAGGAGTTCTAGGCTCTTGGTGGTTTTGCGAGTCTGCTGATGCTTGGTTCATTTGGACTGTGTGCGGAAGGTGATGGATGAAAGGGTAATGGTTTTGAATCGTGTTAATAGTTTTGGTTTCGATCATAAAAAAGTCGCCTTTTCTTTTGCTTGATCCTTGAAAACTAGTAATGCTTATGTTTCCGGTATGTCTCTGATGATAAAAGTTGTGATTTTGGGGGTAAATGGCTAATGTGGACTTCATGATTATAAGAAAAATGACCAAAGAAATTTGCTGCTTGCAGATGCTTTTAAAGAGACACTGGTTTCAAAATGAAATATTTGAAGGACTATTTCATTTTCCGCTATCTTTCGTGTCAGTCAGGGAAATTAAAATTTGATTAGGTGATGTTTTTGTGCGATTGGAAGTTGTATAGTTCCTCTCCCCTTGATATAATTGAAGATGAAGAAAATTATGCTCCATTGAGCGATATAGTGCTGATAGTTTGTAGCATTGTTCAAGTTGGTATTGCATTCTTTGTTTGGTACATATGATTGAGTGTATTTTGTGTGTGCGTGTGCATGAGCGTGTGTGTTTGTCCATCCACTCGTATGAGCATGTTGTACCTGCATCTTTCTTAAGTAACCCAATATGTTGTAGTAACCTACTGTTGTCAGTTGTCCATTGGCTGGCTTCCAGTCTGGTTTACAAGTGCATCTGGTGAGCTCTCTTTCCCTCAGACATTTTAGCTTTATTCTTATGTTTGACATTTCACTTTCCTAGACTGCCTGCCAGTTGTTGCATACGAATATGTAGATTTGTATTTGTTATAGGTTCTGAGGAGAAATGTATGGCATGCGATATATTTTTTTCTGAATTAGGCCTTTTGAATGGAAAAAAATTATTGTAATGGCACTGTGTTTCAATATCTAAAGAACAATTAGTGGCGTCATGATGCTTTGCTAGGATGATCAAATTAATAATGGTCATCAGTATCAGGTTCTTAGTTGAAAGTTGTTTTGTTACTCAGGAGCTGGATGATGTTCGAGGTAGAAAGACCAATTAGTTTTCTATTTAGAAATTTCACATTCTCTTTCTCAATATTGATGCATTTGAGGAAGAAGAAAATTATGTTTGTTTGATTATAATAGTGCATGATGGTTAATAGCAACAGAATAAATTACTTTGATTGGAATGTTGGATAAAATACAACCTTTCACAAACTACTTACTGCTCTTCAGTGTTTTGTTCAAGCTTAAATATTTGATATTCTTTGGCTGGCTGAACAGTTTCTAAAAAGATGGTTTCCACCAATAGTCCAATAAATACCTGCAACTTTGCTGAGGAGATTGCTTCTGGTTGATGTGGGGCGCACTGATACATCTATAAAGTGAAGTTTACTTTTATTTCATTATCTCTTTTTCTTCTTGGTCATATCATTTCCTGTCGGACTTGTCCACACATTTTGGTGATATAGGCATGGTTTGAAATGTATTGTACCTGAGAAGTATTGGCACACACCACTATTACTTGTTTCAGGGATGCAGAGATGTGATTAGGCCAATCTCTGAATGTGCCAAACGAGACGAAGGTGTGCCAACGATACAAAGTGCGATTGTGCTGTGCCAGATAAGTATCGACACACATCAATCTACTCTACAAATGCCTGTTTATTTTTAAGATCAAGTGTTGATACCAGCTCCTTGAATATTATGGCAAACTATTTTGCATGGTCTTCATATATTATTTGCTGTCTGGTCTGATAGTTAGCAGTATTGGCAGGATCAGTTTGATGATTCTAGTTGATAGAGGAAGAGACTTAAGCAATTACAATGCATGAAATTGATCTAACAATAATGCATATGCTATTTCCTTCTGAAGAAATTGTAAAAGCTAGTTCTACCTGATTTGTTTTCTCAGAGTATTGGTTTTGTTTTCCTGTGCTATAGGTATTATAGAATTTAGAAATGCTCCACTGCTCATTACACTTATTTTCTCAGTTTTGATTGCATAACATAAATGTCAAAGTTCAGAAGTCAACACCGAAAGAAAAAGAAGTGTTTGCCTTTTGACTCATCAACATCTGAAACAAAAGAAAGTGGTTACTATTCTATTCTTCCCATAATGCCCATATGGTTTTAAACTTTAACCATATCATGAAGCATCCAATAAAGCCATAGTGGATGAATGAAAACAAGTATACTGTTCTCAAAGAAACACAAGACTCCTTTGTGCTCTCAGTCACATTCCCACTCATCAGCCATGGCTGATTCAGTGGAACCCAGTTTTCCCTTCCAACACCCACCCAAGAGGAGAATGATTGATTGGTTCCTTCTCAAGCTGTGGCAGAACACAAAGCATTGCCTGGTCCAAATCAGTCAAAATCCTCCCGAAATAATCTGAAAGCAACATGGATGACCCTTGAAGCTTTTGCCATCAAAGATTACAGTGATATGGATGCACCAGCTGAATTCATTGCCTCAGAAGCTGCCACTCTGTTGACTTGGTCTTGTGAGATTTTGTAAGGATAACACCATTAGATAATTGGATAGAGAGACAATTAAGATCATCAGACCATGAAAGGTGAAGTCGCAGACTGAATCTAACAAACAATTGGGACTGATCGCATTCCATATTTTTCTCAAATAAGACATTAAGCGCATCAAAATTCTAGTCAGTAACAAGCGAGAATGCACCAGAAGACTTCTCATTCATGCAGGGAATGCAGAACAAGAATACCAGAGCAACATGCTGGAAACAGAGCACGGAAGGAGAGCAGATCGCAGAGCAGATAGAATCCGCAGCAACTACTGTTGTCTCCCGCTGTGGCAAAAATGATAGAGCACGACTCCTCAGAACTCAACATTTCGCTCTGCGTCTTCCTCGTTATGCTTGCCATCGTCGCCGGTGTCATCTCCGTCATCTTCCTCGTCGTCGTCGTCCGTCGACAAATGTGCCAACCAGCAGTAGCCATGCAGGTGGCCGTTCACGCAAACGAAGTACTCCAAGCTCCCTTCGTGGGAGCCCAGCCTCTTCGATGCGCTCCTGGGCACGAGCCCCGCCGCCGTCATGCTCCACACCCGGGCGCCGCAGTAGGGGCAGCGCACCTTGGTTTCCAGCTCCGCTTGCTTCCCTATCAGCCATGCCCGCGTCCGTGACCTCATGAACCCCCGGAACACCCCGCGGTAGGCTCCCAGGTCCTCGCCGCCTCCCCGACCAGCCGCCGGGTGCTCGCAGGGATCGCTGACGAAGAGCAGGTCGCCCCAGCAGCGGCGCGCGAGGAAGGACCGGCCGGAGGTCTTGGAGAACCGGGAGGCGCCGACGAAGTGGCCCGGGGCGGCGCGGTCGGGGGTGAAGAAGCGTGTCGGGGCGGCGCAGCCGCAGCAGAAGAAGAGGAGCTTGGCGAGGGCGTGCCACCCGCCGCCGAGGCGGCCGGCGGGGGCCACGCCGCCCGAGGTGAGCGCGGACACCATGCGCGGTGCCCGGGAGATGCACAGCTCCCGGAAGAGCACGCGGCGGGCCACGGCGCGGAGGCGACGGCTGACGCAGGCCGCCACGCAGATGACGTGCGGATCCCAGTTGAGGCTGCGGAACACCAGCATCAGCACCGTCTCGTCCAGTATCCCGGCGTTCACGTCGCCTCCATACGCTCCGCCGCCCCCGTCCCCGCCGCCGCTAATGCTCGTGGCGGCGGCCGTCGCGCCGGGCATCGAGGGGTTGCAGAAGGAGCTGCACTTCTGATTCTTTCTGCCCCTCTCCATCATCGCATCATTCAGCGTCGGACAAACCAGATCTTGTCACTGCAGTCAATCAAACCGAACCCAATCCTCCAACGAGTCGTGTACGTAAGGAGAAAAAAAGACCATACTGATGTCCGCTACTTCTCCAGTGCCATTGGCGAGCGAGAGAGGGGGAGGAAGACAATGGAAAGGTCGGATTGGGTCATCTGAAGTGTTGGATCCATACACGCGACGCATGTCTGCTCCCACTTGGCGCTCTGGGCTAATGATTTGGAGTCAATTCGGGTTACATATAGAGGGTGTGCTGTAAGCGTCGAAGAACCCGGTTCGATTGCAGTTGAACCGGCCATATCTCGTCTTTATGGTCTCCACCCACCATATAATTGCGTCCGGTCCGGTTCGGGATTTCGTCCGGTATCGTGAAAGCGACGGCACGACACGTGACGCCTAGGGAAGTCACAGATGCCATCGTACGGCATCTGATCCGTTGCGACATCGACACGTGCCCTGTCGCCCATCGGAAGACTCGTGTCGGCATCTGGACGGATTAAGGTTCTTGACTCGTCGAGTGCTCTGATATCCTCACTCCGTCGCCCCAATAATATCACGTCCACGACGTGCCTTCGTTCAATTGGGTGGAGGACACGCGTCGGGAGGAGCGATCACCAGAGCAGATCCAACTCCTACGTGAGACGTGGAACGATATCCGCCTTACACGTACGTTCTGCGACACCGTTTTTGTTTTCTTTTACTATTTAATTACACTGAACGCAGTATGGGCGGAGAAAAAGGAGAAATACGAGAATAAAATAACAAAAAGGGAAAGTGGTCCTCAACAAGATTTTTGTGTCAGCTTCTTCTCCTTACGCTTCACCGACTGTGTTCCGCTGCGACCAGCCTACAATAAATACACGGTGAAGGGAAGCAGGGGTTCACCGGGGTGACGGGACCGCACTAGATGTCCGACGAAAAGAAACAACGTATAATATAAACGTAGAATTGAAGCGTGGCTTAAGCTGGTGAGTGCGCGGGCCCCACAATTTAGATGGGTGCGTGTCACGCGTTCTTTGGTCTACCATGCATAAGTTGTCTATATTTAAGGGCTTATATTATTTATAAGCAAATGTTGTGCAATCGTGACGTCGCCATTTACAAGCAAATGTTTTGTTTGTTCGATCGAAAAGCTTAGGCCTCGATTCGTCCACGAAGAGGAATTCGTCGATTCCATCCAATCATTTTATATTCGAGTCGATTAATACATTATTATTTGGATATCATAAACGTTATTTGATATGAAAAATATTGAAATTAATCTGCCTTAACTCATTTTTCCGAGTATTATCGAGGAAAATATTTATTTGAGTTAAAAGAAATTTACCACTCATATCTTACTTCGATTCGAAAGTAGAAAATGCATGGGTGTGTCTGACCTGATTTTTCGATGATTAAGTTAATTTTAATTATCTAATTATATATTAAAAAATATTAATGGAAGTTCTAATTCATTTAGATGAGTTCAGATAGAAAACATATCGTTGAAATCAATTCTATATATCCGCCAGTTTAATGATAAAATATCCTCTTTGAACATACTGTTGGGGAAACGAGATATTACTTTTAATCGATTAATTTTGTGAATAATTCTTGATGATTTAGGATTAGTTTATTTGGACCGCTAAGATCCAACCGCATTATATATAAAAAGAAGGAGAAGAAAGAGAGACAAGGGACTATGACATTGAATATTAGGTGAAAGATAAAAATATATTTTCATCAAAGTGATAAAAAAAAAAGATTGTTATTAAAAATCGAGTGAGCTAAATAAAAGCTCAAATGTCAAGACTTTTTAAGATAAAATATTTATATAAAAATATTTTTTCTACAAATAATGTGCTTATTTTATACAAGTGTTTGTGTTTTGTTATAAAAGGTAATTGCATCACACTTGTCTATATTAGTATCACTCGCAGCAAAAAACATTTTTGAATTATAAAAAACGGTTTAAGAAAACAAATTTTATTGCTGAGTTGCTGCATAAAAGAGTATTTCTTTCTGTCTTCACATCAGAAAACATTTCGTCTATTTCACCCGCGCAGAAGCAACAGGATGACGTCGCGGCTCCACCACGCCATCCCTCTCCAATCCTTCCCTCGCCGGTCTCCATCGTCCTCTCCTCCTCCTCGGACTCCTCTGCGTCTTCCGCAGCCGTTCGTTCCTCATCGTCGCCGCGCCACCACAATCCTCCTCATCCCATGGCGCCCCCCCGTGACGTGGATGGGGAGGAGGAGGAGGAGGAGGAGCGCCCCTGTCAGCTGCACGGTGGCCGAGCGAGACGGCGAAGACGGCACCGGACGAGGGGGAACAGCAAAATCGGCAGCAGAAGCAGCTGCAAGATGGGCGTCGTTGATCCCCCGCGGTGTCGGCGTCGCCCCCGAGAGGATTCTCAGGCTCATTTCTGGGGCCACTTCTAGCCCCATCGGCCAGTTCATCGAGTCCCCCCGCACCTTCCTCCACTCCGTTGATCCCCGTATCAAATTGGTAAAGAACATTGCTTTATGACGCGAATTCCTTCTGGTGTTCTTGTTGTCATTTGAGCAAATAGTTGGTCTGCGAGACCTTGCTGGACTCGACTTGAAATTGCATTGTTTCGTATCAATTAGAAAGGTACTATACTTGATTTATGGAGCGAATTCTGTGACCTAAATTCGCGATGCATTTGTGGGTGGGTAGTGCATCTTTGATCACGAAGACTAGTGGATCTTAGCTAATTCCCCTAGGAATCTAATAAACACACATTGAAGAAGGCCTTTCTTAAGGGCCGTAGTCATGTCTGCATAGTTTAGCAAGGGTGCCATAGTTTGCGTGCATACAATCTAAATATACCCTTGTTGCTTGGCTTCTGGGTTTTCCACCACTAATACATAGGGTCATATCCAGTACTTACACCATGGGGCTGGAAGCATCTCATAGTTGCCTCATTATTAGTTTTGAAGCTCATAGGCCCCATGTCTATTGTCATCCTTTAACACAAGTTCATCTGTGTGCTTGGATGTGTGACTATACAGTTACATGTGTTTTTTCTTTTGTGTTTTCTCAGACAATTGGAATATTTTGTTTTTTGTTTTCTTACCGTTTGCCATAGTATAGTTAGGTGCTTAGATTCTTTTTTAATTTTTTGGAGGTCTAGTTATTTTTCAGTCGCGTGCAGATTCCCATTGTTTACATATCTGATCATTGTCACTTAAGATGTGAAGAGGAAATTGATTACCTGTTAGTTTCGACTGGCTTAGTTTGCATTATGATGCATGATGAAGTGGTTTCGAAATGTCTTAGCATCTAATTTACATCTAGAAGTTGATTAGTTTCTAGTTGCTTCTGGATGCCATCTCTAATGTTAAGAAATTTGGCACACTAAATCTTTTTCTGGGTATGCTATCATATCATTAATGAATCTGTGAGGAATTAATTGCTTCAGAGTTTAAGTTTCTTTTGTCCTTACCAGTGCATCAGCATAACATGTAAATACTTTGAGGTTTTGTTATTCTGGATAATGTCTTTTAGCATTTATATGGTTTTGCATGGCTATTTTTTGTCCCTGTTTATCTAGTGTCTTCCAAATTTCTATTCTTTTGTCCATATTCATGCCTGCTATATTGCTCTTCTTTATGTTCTTATTAACTTGTTCTGAATATTCTTCCACATCAATTCTGATTGTTTATATTTTACTTTGTGCAGGTGTGGCTGTTGGTTCTCGTTGTCTTACCAGCAAGATCACATATCTACATGCGCCTTGGTTTGGTCTTGTACATCACTCTACTGTCAATTTGCATCCTTCCATCTCGTATTTGGACGGTATGCTTGAAACTAATTAATTTCACTCATTGATTTCTTGTTTTGGCCAAGGTACACTCAAGCTTAGATGGTTAAGATCCTACAGTAAATTGTTTTATGTGGATCCTAGCGCAAAAGTTAAACTTCCTAGGCACTGAAGAGTTAGATTAGGCACAAAAAGTTTAGGACCAATAATATGTCATGTATTTATTAAGTATTGTTATTCTTGTTATTATTTTCTGTTAAGATGGGTAAATCTTGTTCTTAATATTATCCTATTTTACGAGTTTATCATGCATTCTTTTACTGAGATGTATGATCATTCTTTTGATGTATTAGATTGACTTATAGGAAACAAACTTTTCTTCTTTGTAGGATCAATTGGGCAGAGTGGCCTTGCTATCAGGAATTTTATTTGTCATGTTGGGATTTGGTTCTGACAGTGTGCCCTCACTTGTCCAGTTGAGAACTCCTCCCCCATCAATCACAGGATTGTCAAATGTTCCATCATCATTGAGTGGTTATTCATATATTATCACGAAGCTAGGTCCACTGCAATTGACAAGGAAAGGCCTGTCAGTGGCTAGTACATCTGCTTGTTTATCCTTTACTGTATGGTTCCTTTCTTTCACCTGAATTTTGAACCCTATTTTTCTACTCATAACTTATTGGTCCTATTGAATTAGTTAATCTTAAGATCATCTTCTTTAGGTGGTGTTTTTCTTTTCTAAATCAAAATGTTATATCCAAAAGGGCTTCCATAAGTATTTTGTTTTGCTGTTATTTTTTATTATTGCAGTTGGAATTTGCCACTGAAAGCTTTCTTTGCTATGAGAAAGTCTTGCTGTCTTTGTTTTAAAATGAAAATGTAGAAAATTTAGAAATTATTATTGATATATTTTATTTTAAGAAGGACGTGATTTTGAGAAAACTTACCTTGTCTAAATTTCACCAACTGTTTAAAGGGTGGAGAAATAAACCTCAATTGTCAAGGTCAAGGTTTCATGATGTTTTTAAATGTTTGGACATTTAATATAAGCCATTTAAAGAAGGAAGATTACAAATATTTTGTCAGACTTGGTATCAGATTTTCAGAGATTTTAATTTCTGTGAGAAATATTTGCCAAACTGCTCATGCTTAACAACATCGGTTGCTAATTTTAGTTTGCTAATTGAGTAAAGTATGCCATTTTTTTAATAGAAGAGAAGGAAAATATCCGCTTTTTTTAGTTGAATTTGTGGGCCAAACTATGCTGTTAACTATGAAAGACGGGAAGGACTCTCTTCCTTCCATTAACATTAGAACCTTGGATGCATTTTTCCGACATATGGTGTACTTTTGATTTGTGCCTCTATTCTTTAAGTATGTTTTGTGAATTTCACCATAATGTAAAGGTTCCCTGATAGGTATTTAATGGTCCAAAAAGAATGATACCATTTCGTAACTTTTTTTTAATTTTCATTTGGCTGTTACCATGTGGTATGATTCGGAAT